GTGCAGCTGGAGTGACCCAGGCACAGGATGCGCTTTCCAACACAGGCTGTGCTTACGTGTTGGCATTTTGGGTGCTCGCGCCCGGCCCCGCAAGTCTCCCACCCCCACAGCCAGGGGGGTGCCACCCACCTCACGCCACCAGCATCTCCCTGCCCGCCCACCCTGTGAGTCAGCGTCAGGGTTGCCTGGGTTTCCCTGAGCGCTTGGCCCACACTCGTTAGCTGGGCTGTGCCATTAACCCCGTCTCTGCTGGCTCCCTGGCACAGCTGCCCCCCAGTCCCCCTGCACAGTCCCCACGTTGGGGTTAGGTCCTGGGCTTCAGGTCACTGAGAGCTGACGGCCATGTGAAGCTCAACCCAGGGCCCAGGTTCTCCCCCGGCCCGCGCTGCTCTCCTCTTGCCACAAGACTTTTGATTCTCATTTTGTCACAAATTGCAGGCCAAGGAGGGGGCCCTGTCCACAGGTGAAGGCACAGAGCCCAGAGGATGCAGCAAGAATTTTCACGGGGGGCTGGGGATGGCATCGGTGTAGGTGGTTCCTAGAAACAGGCAGAGCCAGAGACAGCCAGTGAGTGTCCCTGGTGAGGGAACCATGGCAGTGACGTCCCCTACTGCCGCCCTGCTCCTGTCCTGCAGACTCAATTCTCTCATCACTGACAACTCACTCCCACCTGGACGGCCCCAGCTGGACAAGCCGAGGCTCAGGCCAGGAGGACACAGCGCAGTGGGACAGGAGCCTGGTGCACCCTGGACTGGGCACTCACATCCTCTAACCGCCAGCCTTGCAGGGTGTGCACAAGCACCCGTGCCTGGAGTCGGCATCGGCGCGTGGCCTGGGACCCCGTGCACCCACACTGTCTGCACAATCCCCCCACTGGCTGTGGAAGTGAAGCGGGCAGTCCTAGAGCCTGGAGGTCACGCATTTTGAGGAGAACTTGGAAGCTCTCTCGGCCTCTCCTGGTGGCTCGGTCCCTGTGATTGTGCTGGACGTGTGATGTGGGCACAGGAACAAGCCCTTAGCTAGAAGGGGCAGCATTTTCTCCCCAGCACCTACAGGCAGTGAGTGTTAGGTTTACAACTTCTGAGGGACTACAACTAGACCCTTTAGGGAAAAACAGAAACGCGATGAAAAGCGTCCCTGAGGGCCGCGGGCGTCTGCGGTGGGGCCTGGGGTGCAGCCCCTCCTTGCAGCCTGAGCTCAGCTTCTGCACAGCCTGCGCCCGGCAGCTGCAGTGGCAGAGGTGGGGCCCGCTCGGGACGGCCCTCGTTTTGCTCGTCTTTTCTGGGGGCTCACGGGCAGTCAGGAGTCCTCATCCTCCCGGGCCTCACCCCAGCAGGATGCCCCAGGGAAGAACACGGGGTCTGCGGGGCCTCGGGTTTCCCTCCACATGCAGGGCTGGCAGTGAAGCCCCTGCCTGAGGAAATCGTGAGGACCATGACATCCTCTTCCTCCAGGGCAGGAGCCCCGCTGGCTCCCCAATGTCTTCAAACACAGCTGTGGGACACCAGGGAGAAACTGAGGCAAGCTGTGAGAGGACCCCTCAGGACAGGAAGAATGTCTGAGGCTGACTGCTGCGGGGCCTCGGGGTGGTGGGTGTCCCACACGGTCTCCGGGGCAACCCAGGGATGCCAGCAAGTGCTGGGAGCCCAATTGGAAAACAGACTTCACCTAAAATTCCAGATTTCTGACTTCCAGCAACACCTGATCTCAGGGCCTCCCTCTCTTCCTTGACGAGAGTCGATTACTCCAAAGGCTACGTGTGTCTCTTCCAGGGCGTGGTCTGTTGGGTCCCGACGCCACCTGTGCTGACCTCCCCTTTCCAGTTCTGGACCCCAGCACTCGTTTGCATCTTGGGTCACAGCCAGGGCGACATGCACCCCCAAGGCTGACAAGCTCGGCGCTCGGAGTCTTCCGGCCCCAGAACTCTCAGAACTCCGGTGGAGGTGGGGCTGGAGGTTTCTGGGTTCCCTTCCAGGTCCACATGCACAGGACAATCCACTGTGAAAAATGCTGTCACCAGCAGTGAGCACTTAGGACTCGGGAGAACCAGCTCGAGGACCCCTGTCCTCCTGGGCTTCTGCTAGGCCCTGGGGCCCACCCTAGGAGCTGACAGGCACCTGGGACAGGTGGAGGGAGCTCAGGCTCCCCTGAAACCCTACACGGGGGACATGCTTCCCATTCAGACACAAGTAGATGCTGCCTGTGTCCGAGTGCCCGCGGGATGGGAGGGAACTTTTCAGCTAGACCAAAGTGGCCTTCCTGGGGACCCAGTTTCAGGGATCGCTTGCTGGGCTCAACAGGACACCATATTCAGAGGAATTCCCAAGCCATCGGTTTCTCTAACCTCCAAAATCCTGGAGCCGGAGCTAGGATGCCTGCCCAGGTGGCCTCGCAGGTGCCGTTTCTTGGCTTCTGGCTCCCCCTTGTGGAACAGTCTGAAATTACACCCACCTGCAGCGGCGGGACCCCGGCCCAGGATGTCTGCATCAGGGAAGTGGGTGGGGTAGGGGGGCTGCTGTGGGGGCTCTGTGGTTTCTGCATGACTTCCGCAACTTACCTGGAGGTGTCCAGGATAAGGCATTTCTGTAAAGCAACACACAGGCCCGAGGGTGGTGCCCAGAGGCGGAGTCTGGCCCTGTGCAGGGGGCTTGGGGGGTGGAGTGCTCCTGGAGGGGCTTGCCCAGCTGTGCCAGGGAGGCCCTTGGAGGCGCTGACCCCGGTGGAGGTCCCAACCCCGGGGCGGGTGCACCTGGGTCTAACCCGGGTCGTCACCAGAGCCCAGAGGCTTGTTCCATCTACTGTGTCACGGCCTTGCTGCCAGTGGAGGGCGCAGGTGACCATCAGGGGTACAGGCTCGCGGGCCCTGGGAACGCAGCATGGGCCTCAAGGCACGGCCGTCACTGACCTGGAGTCGGATGAGACTGTGGAGAGCAGTGGCAAATCCTTGCCCACCGTTCCTGGCGCCTGCCTGCTGCGCCTGCTGAGCACCTGGCACTCTGCTCTTGCCACCCCAGAGCACCAGGCCCCGTCTGAAGTCTGATCGTGAGCCACTCTGATGACAGGCTTTGCTTTTATCTTCCCGGCCTCGGCTTCAACCTTCCCCTTCCAAGGAGTCCCCCAAGGCGGCTGGCTCCACTGGTTCCCCCACAGCACATACGTCGCTGTGACCCATGGCCAGCTCTTCTGGCCGCCGACAGGCCGTGGGGATCACGCCTCTACATGTAAACCTGGAGATTCGGAGCCAGCGCAGCACTGCCCCCAGAAGGAACGGTCCCTCCTCACGGAGCACCGCGCACTGCAGACATCCAAGAGTGCTCGCCCGAGGCCTCTCTGGCCGAGGCCTGCTCAGCATGCCTAGGGCTGACCCGCGTCCAGAACCTAAAAGGCAGTAAGGACACGCCACAGGCTGGTGGAGAGACGCGTCCGACGCCTCGCCTGACCCCAGCCGGCTCCTGAACTGGAGCTGGAACCAGGCCTCCTGTCCATCTAGGGACCCTTTGTTCGGTGATGATTTTCTTCAATTTGGCAGCGAATCCGTGCCACAGACCCCGTTCTGACCCCTCGCTGCGTGCCATCGTCTGCTGGAAACCTATTCATTTAACCCTCACAGCAGCAGCCCAAGGTGGGGGCGATTTTCGTTGATGGAGGAAAAGACCCCTTCCTCCTCCAGGCTCTACCTGCCCTTAACACATCTCCATTTCTTGAGATGAATCTTTCGCTGTCCCCAGTCAGTAACCACCTGATCTAATGCTGGTCGTTTCTACCTTTGAAAGCTGTAGGCTCAGGGGTTCAGCTTTTCTGAGGTTACCTACAATGTTATTATTCTATTAGTTTTACAGGTGGGTGGTTTATTTTTCAACGTGCAGGAGAGGAGGGTGGAGGGGGAGCAGGCCTGAGAGTGTGACCCCATCCCCCGGGCTGCTGGCTGTGGACTAGGGAAGATTTCTACCGGCCCAACGCCCCTCACGCAAATTGCTCCCGCAGAAGCGAAAAAGACACGTGAAACCCAAGCCAGTCCCAGCCAGGAAGTGACTCCGGGTTACCCCGACCGTGCGCAGAAGGGAAAATCCCAGGCAGCCTCTGCCAGGACCGGACGCATCCAGATCACTGAGCGGACACCAGCGACACCTTGTGGGGACGCAGGAAATCGCGTCCTCGCAGAGCCAGGCCCGCCTGGAAACTCAGAATGGTCAAGCACAGATGAGAGGGGCTCCGTCCAAAAGGCGCTGACGACGGGTATGGGGAAGAAAGGCAGCTTTATTGCTTTCCCTGGGGCTAAAAAAGCTGTGGGGGACGGCAGGTGGGTGTGGGGCAGCCCCTCAGCTGGTTGGTGAAACTGCCCTGGGGCCCCAGGTACACAGCTCGGCCAGGATTCAGGGGCCGGGGCCCACCCTGACGGGAAACAACGCTGCAGGACACGAAGACAGGAAACTCCCGGCCCAGAGACTGCGGCGCCTGCCTTAGAGCACACGGAGGAACTCTCCCGCGAGACCGAGGCCTGCAGGCCCGGGTGCTGCTGCAGCCGCAGGACACAGCAGGGACGAGCGACGCCTGGCCCAGAGGCCTCCCCAGCCTCGCAGAAGCGGAGTCCGGCTGAGCGGCACGCCACGGGCTCTCTCCATCAGGGCGCGCCGCGGCCGAGGCGGCGAGGAAACCTGTTCCCAGGCGGGTGGGCCATCTCAGGGGACGTGGGCTTCACAGGACAGCTGCTTCTGCATCTAGGAATGCGGCTCAAGTGTGGTTTTAGGAATCTGAAAAGGATGGAAGGCCGCGTGGTCGCCGCAGTCTCTGGGCGGGGATTTAGTGGAGTGACGCTTGGAAACGCCCGTTTGTGCAACGTGCCTTTAGAGCGTGACAACAGCTCTGTATGTGAGGACTCAATAACTTGAGTGTTTCTGCCGAAAAGTGAAATGCGAGTATAAAACGAGTGTGTCTTAGCCAAGGGCAGGCCACAGCCAGCCCGTCTGGGGACAGCTGCAGCGGATGTGGACTCGGGCCCTCGTGGAGCCTGCATTTTATGACATTTGAGTAGGAATGACTTTGTGTTTTAACATCAAAGAAAGAATGTGAATGTTAGGGAACTGCAGACATCAAACTTTCATTCTAATTCTCAGAATGCCAGAGTAAGACAAACCCTTTACAGTAATACTGAAGTAATTAGGGCTCGTTCTCAGTAGAGACTCAAGCTGCTTCAGTATGGTAATAAAATTTTGAGAAAGAATACAAAAGAAGAAAGCAAGCAGGGGTGAAGCCCCGTACTGAGAGGGAGTGCCTGTCCCAGCATCTGTGCCCTGGGCTCGCCTGGCAGGGGTGACGCCCCACACTGAGAGGCGGGGGAGGCCGTCCCAGCACCTGTGCGCTGGCCTTGCCCAGTGTGCCCTCCCTTGCTTGTGGCACTCGCTTGGCAGCAATGGCAAACCCTGTGGTCACTGGGAAGGGCAGCGGGGCCGGGGCCAGCCTGTGGGGTGTGCGGCCCCTCACGAGGTCAGCTTGCAGTAGCTGGGAGGAGAGAGCTTGCGTCTCAGGTACTTGAGCACATAGAGCGGGAGGCAGCTGACTACGGTGATAGCCGACACTTTCCACAGGAAGGTCACGGTGGTGACAAAGGTAAAATCTGTTGGCAGGAAACAGAGAAAAAGGTAAGAGCTGACCGAGAAGCCCTGGGCCCTCGTGGCCACAGCCACAGACCTGACCAGGCCACTGGGCGGTCCCCTTCAGCTTGCACGAAAGCATCACCGTGCATTTACGGGGCCAGGCCCAGTGCTCAACCTCAGGTTTGTCTTGACTGTAGAACTGTTTTCCCTGCGTACTAGGCATAATGCATTCTTTTAATGGAAAAAACGAAACCATAGCAGTATAGAGCGATTGTAGGCTGGGCACCGTGGCTCACAGCAGCACTTTGGGAGGCCGAGGCAGACGGATCACTTGAGGTCAGGAGATTGAGACCAGCCTGGCCAACATGGTGAAACCCCATCTCTACTAAAGACAGACACACACACACACACACACACACACACACACGCTAGTTGGGTGTGGTGGTGTGCATCTGTAATCCCAGCTACTGAGGAGGCGGAGGCAGGAGAATCGTCTGAACCCGGGAGGCAGAGGTTGCAGTGAGCTGAGATCATGCCATTGCACTCCAGCCTGGGTGACAAGAGTGAGACTCTGTCCCCCCCCCTCCAAAAAGGCTGCAGATGACTAATATCACCAAACACCACTAAATGGGTAGACAACGTTCTGTGGCAGAATTTTCCAAGGCACCCAAGTGCCAGCTGTGGTGCCAGCAGAAGTGACACCAACTCACCTAACCTCTGTGGTTTGTTCGGGGATCTAGGCTGGCCTTTTTTTAAAGGTAGAGTTGCTTTTATGGGGGCTCGGGGCAACAGAGGGCCGCTGGCAGCTCCATATTTGCAACACAAATCCTCAGACCGGTCTGCTCTTAAAGGCTCTCGGCCCGGCCATCCAGAATGTCCTGACCCCTCACCTCCCGAATGTTCGCAGAAGAACCCGTGTGCTCGTCACACCCAAGCTCTGCTGGTGAGGACCAGGCTACTGAAATTCCTCATGGGAAGAAGCATGTGAGAAATGGGATACGCACACAGTTCGGGTCTACAGAGGGTGGAAAGCCCTTTAGACTGTTCCAGAAGATGGGAGAAACAGATCTATGGAGCAGAGTTAGAGGCTTCGCAGAAGTAAACGACGGAGGGAAACGCCGGCTCTCTGCGGGCGGGTCAGAGCCATGAAGGGGACAGCAGAAGTCCGGGCTGACTCATTTCCTGAAGACCCTGACAGTGCTCTCCAGGAGCGCAGCCGCTGCAGCCGCAAAGTCAAACACGTTTTAGGGGCTCATGCAATCCTCAGCGGACGCCAGGATGCCCTGGCCCTCTCTCACTCAGGTAAGCCAGCTGCACCTTGGCCCGCGACCAGCAGATCAAGCGCATGCCACCTGCTCCCGTGACATCCGACAGTGCGTGAGGAGCACAGGGTTAGAGGAAGGTTTACTTTTCTTATTAGTTAAGTCTCTGTATCAATATTGTTTGGCTACATTTCTATACTTAGAAAGAAGTGAGAGCTTTACCTACCTAAGAAAGCTCCGAAAGATACTCTGCCTATACCTGTTCCAAAACAGGAATAAAGAAAATAAAGGACAGATTAAAGGAGATGCCAGGATATTTCAAGGGGTTAGCAAACAAATAAGAAATACATTAGAAAGCAACAGAGCGGCAGAGCAAGACACCTGCTCAGTGTGGCTTCAGCCTCTCATCTGGCTGCTGTTAGCACACAACTTTCTAACGTTGCTGAGACCCCACAGCGAGTTTACAGCCAGTGAAAGCACATGCCGTGGCACTCCCCAGGAACCAGAGAGCTGTGCGGGTCTGAGAGGAGCTCGCCGCGAAGGCGCACCGGCCGGAGGACTCGCCGTGCTCCGCAGGCACGAGAGGAGCCCCGTGCCCTCCGTACACACGTGCGTGCGCGTTACTACTCATCTTCACACTGGCCCCAACGGGAAGTGACACCGTCTCCAGTTTGCAGATGCAGAAGCTGAGGCTCAGAGAGACGAGGAGTCCTGCCCACGCCCACGGCACGCGTCTGTCTGTCATTTTGTTAGCTCACTGCAGCGTGTAGCATGTTAATGCGACCCCGAGTACTCTAATTCATCATCATACAGGAAAATATTCTAAAAGCTTATTTTCAGAAGAAAAATAACTAGGACATTATAATTTGAAAATAATCATTTCTTATGAGCCAGGAGTATTTTTTGAGAGTTTTTTTTATACAAGAACAGGAACATTTCACGGTTTCCTACCTACAGGTTCACCACCGCACAGACACTCGGGCACTGAGGCGAGAAGCGCACAGGAGGCTCCGTTCACTCCCGCAGGTCTGAGGACGGGGGCGCCCGAGGGGCTGTGCTGCTCATGTGGGCGGGGGCTGGCCACTGACCGACGGGACACAGCGCCTCATGTGTGGGGTGGGGAGCCGGCCAGTGACCGACGGGACACAGCGCCTTCATCCACGGTGCGTGGATGGTAAGAGCAGGCATTTTCTGACACGGGTTTTACCATACTCCACAATTTAAGACAACGTATTCAGAAGTAACAATAAAAACATGCTTCAAAATCATGAATAGACAACAATTCAAAAAATAATTCCAAGGCAACTTACCAAAATATTCATTGAGAAAAGCAAGTGAGGACACATAGCAGCCCAGGCTGAGGAACTCGGCCACCACCATCAGCCAGTGCCATGTGCGGACGGTCAGCGCCACCATCAGCAGCTCGGTCAGCACCAGCGCGGTGAAGGAGATGGCCACCACGTGGACGAACTCAGACTCGAAGAGCACCAGGGCCCCGTACATGAGGATGCCGCCTGAAAACACAGGGGCGTTTCCCACAACGCGTGAGCACGGCGTCAGCCAGCCAGAGAAACGGCCTGGAAACAGCAGCCTCACCAAGAACCCTTAAAAACACGGGAGAGACTAGGCACAGCGGCTCACACGTGGCAGCCCAGACTTGGGGAGGCCAAGGCAGGCAGATCGTGAGGTTAGGAGTTCAAGACCAGTCTGGCCAACATGGTGAATCCCGTCACTATTAAAGACACAAAAAAGTTAGCTGGGCATGGTGGCACGTGCCTGTGATCCCAGCTACTCAGGAGGCTGAGGCAGGAGACTCGCTAGAACCCGGGAGGCGGAGGTTGTGGTGAGCCGAGATCGCACCACTGTACTGCAGTCTGCACAACAGGGTGAACCTCCATCTCAAAAAAAAGAAAAATGGGGGTAACGCCTATGCCCGCACTGGATGCTGATGAACAAGCCACTTAAACTCTGGATTATGGACAAAATAAGACAGGGTCCTCGCTGGATTAGTTAGAAATAATGTCAAGGAGAGGCTGAGAAACTTCGATGTCTGCATGAAAAGCCCCAGCTCTGCTGCGGTCAGTGTAAACGCTGACGCCCCGCGTGTAACTGTCCGTCGGTCAGTGTGAACGCTGACGCCCCGCGTGTAACTGTCCGTCGGTCAGTGTGAACGCTGACGCCCCGCGTGTAACTGTCCGTCGGTCAGTGTGAACGCTGACGCCCCGCGTGTAACTGTCCGTCGGTCAGTGTGAACGCTGACGCCCCGCGTGTAAACTGTCCGTCGGTCAGTGTGAACGCTGACGCCCCGCGTGTAACCTGTCCGTACGGTCAGTGTGAACGCTGACGCACCCGCGTGTAACTGTCCGTCGGTCAGTGTGAACGCTGACGCCCCGCGTGTAACTGTCCGTCGGTCAGTGTGAACGCTGACGCCCCGCGTGTAACTGTCCGTCGGTCAGTGTGAACGCTGACGCCCCGCGTGTAACTGTCCGTCGGTCAGTGTGAACGCTGAACGCCCCGCGTGTAAACTGTCCGTCGGTCCAGTGTGAACGCTGACGCCCCGCGTGTAACTGTCCGTCGGTCAGTGTGAACGCTGACGCCCCGCGTGTAACTGTCCGTCGGTCAGTGTGAACGCTGACGCCCTGCGTGTAACTGTCCATCTGTCAGCTGCACTTTCCACGGTCCCCCAGTCACCGGAGCACTAAACAAAGAGCAGCCAACGGCTTCTCCTTTCTCCTTCCATAACTCGGGCTTCTCCAAGTCTTTTTATCACTCTGTGAAAGAAAACCATTGTTCAGGGCACACATGTGATAAGTGCTTGTTACAATGTTTCTGGATTAACATTTAATTAAAAACAAGTCAGTTTTCAGGTGACATGCCTCAGTTAAAAATAGAGTCCACATTGCTGGAATATCGATTTACACGATAAACAGAAGGCAGCATTTCACTGCTGATGACATTCTAAGCTGCTGGAATTGAATTTGGAAGTAAAAACAATATTGCTAAAAGTAGATCAAAATTAAAAATCTTTAGTCCAGTAAACTAAGGATCCCGCCTTACCTTGGTAGATACTGATGAGCACCCAGATAAGGAAGGTCTTGAAGGACAAAGATCGCCCCTAGGAGACAGCGAAGAGCGTAGTTAACACCAGAGACACGCTCGGCTCGCGTCTTCCAGGAGTGAGGTGTGGGTCTGAAGCCCCAGCCACGCTGCCCCAGCCACGGGTACACCAGCATTTCAGGGCACCTTCCCGACACCCAGATCCTCAAGAAGCTGCCTGGGCACCACAGGTGTCCACTGCTGCCCATCTGAGGTTAGAGGCCTACGCCCTCTTCCCGTTGACCTGCGTCTGGTTCCATGTTTAAGCCGCAGCTCTACTAAGCCGGGAGTGAGGTGTGCAAGCAAATAAAAACATTTTCTCGTATTTCCTGTGAACGAATATGTCTATATTTACTGTTTTCTTCAGATCAAAAGATACAAAAGGTAACAGCTCTTCAGTAAAGATGGCACACCTCAACTGAAGTAAAAAATTATCCCTTAAGCCCTTTCTGGAGAATGTGTCACACACATAACCTCAGGTAGATGGAACGGGTCCTCGCACCAGGACCTTCACTCTGCAGAAGTGAAGGCAGGAGACAAGGGAACGGAGGCGGGGGAGCTCTGGGGGCGCTGGGGAAAGGGGGGGTTTGGGGGACAGAGGCAGGGGCACTCTGGGGGGAAGGGCTGGAGGCAGGCGAGCTCTGGGGGGCTGGAGGCAGGGGAGTCTGGGGGGCCGAAGGCAGGGGAGCCCTGGGCCACAGGCTTGCTTGTCCCACTACACCCCTGAAGATATAGAGTCCAAGAAGAGAGGCTGAGTCACTAACCACCCCTAGAACTGCCACAGGTGGCACGTCGAGAGGCCCCGTCTCCAGGAACGCCTCTGTGTACTTGGTGCCTTTGCGTCTTTTCTCGCGCAGTGCAGCCTCAGTTACACAGAGCAGACGCTGCTTCCATTTACAGGTGAGGAAACTCCAGCAGTTCCGTGATGTCCTCAGGTTCTCACTGGAGGCTAGGCGTGCGAGGAAGTATGGTCTGCTGACCAGAGCCCAGAGTCCTGCCCTGACTTAGGGCTGTCCCACCCACGGGGAAGGTGCTCCTAAGGACAGGAAGTGCTTTAAAACAGCACAGAGGAAAGACGGGGCCTCATGGACACTCGGGGGACACAGAGGACAGCAGGGAAGATGGAGGAAGGTGGCGGGCAGCGCTCAGGGCCCATCTGAACCCGCACCTGCCCGAGTCTGCTGAAGACCTTTACACACAGGCTGCGCCGTCACAGAACAGAGGCGCGGACGCTGGGACTGTGGCTCTGTTCCTGCAGGAGCCCGGCAGGGGCAGACTGACCAGCTGTAATGCTCGTTGTAGTTTAATTATAATGATAAGAGACAAGCATGTGACAAATACATGTAAATATTTCCTGGGCTGCAAGAGTTACTGTGTGAAAAAGCTGACGGAGCCCCAGCCCTTATCGTATGTGAATATCAAAAGTAAGATTCAAACACACCGTGATTTATTATAAAGCACCTACTGATTTTTAAAAAGCAGAAAACTTTAAAGTTAAACATTGACGTACTCTAAATAGGTTCCCTCGGCACATACTCCCGAGGACATCTCTCTCCCTGGATAATGGGGGTGTTTCATCTTTGGTCATGAAATTCATTTGTAATTAAGTACGAGGCTCATATTATTCAAACACTTTAAAAGGAAATTTAATTATTTTGACATAAGAAACAAAAGGTTTATTTGGTGGCCTGATTTGCTGAAACATACTGTTTTATTCATGTGAGGCAGTGGCCAGGTCCCTGTGTAAAGGTGGAAAGACAGAGCTGTGTCTGCGTGGCTTCTCTCGAGAGGAGCTGCCAACAGGAGGCAGCACGTGAGACCTGCCCCGCCAGGTGCCCGTGTCGAAGCAGATGGTAGTACAGATTCATACAAGCAAGCACGACAGGACGGGTACAAAAGACATCAATAAAATAGATCATTTGAGAAAAATACGTGCACACCTCCTGTTAATGGCTCCCAGACTGTCGCTCTGAGAATAAAATCCTGTTACATTTGATGGGACAGACGTGTTACTCATAGAAGCGATTTATTCACTGTGGGTTTCATGCTATGGACGAAGCCGCTCTTCCTGGCCAAATACCTTTCCATTTGGTTTTAGGAAGAGGAAGATGTCTGTCACTCTGGTTGATGTCCCTGTATGGGTGAAATGCCTGGAGCCGAGTCCTGCCTAGCACACACTTTCCTGCTGCGTCCCTGGGCTCAGGACTTAATCTGTCAGGTTCCTCTCTGTGAAATAGAAATAATAGTGGCACCTGGCTCACATGCATGAAATAAAATGAGCCACGAAAGAAAATATGCACCAAGCCGAAACACAGTAAATATTCAGTGAATGCTACTGTTATATTTACCAATTAAATGTTGCAGATTCAGAAAGTAATTTCTACTGTATCAAAAAATGCAAAAAAATAAAATGAAGCAAAAATTTTATTTTTTATATTTTTTTCTGAGACGGAGTCTCACTCTTGTCGCCCAGGCTGGAGTGCAGTGGCACGATCTCAGCTCACTGCAACCTCCGTCTCCTGGGTTCAAGTGATTCTCATGCCTCAGCCACCTGAGTAGCTGGAATTACAGGCGCCAGACACCATGACTGGCTAATTTTTGTACTTTGAGTAGAGACGAGGTTTCTCCATGTTGGTCAGGCTGGTCTCGAACTCCTGATCTCAGGTGGTCCGCCTGCCTCAGCCTCCGAAAGTGCTGGGATAAGCGTGAGCCACTATGCCTGGCCAAATCTAGCAAAATTTAAGGAATGATTCATCTACCTCAAAGTCATACGCGTGCAGTTATTCCTACAGAAGTGCTCACTGCTGCAGCAGACAAACACGCTGACGTGTGTGTTGCAAGAGCTGGGGTCCGTCCGTGTGGGTTGGCACTGCGGGACAAGACCGGCTGCTCCTGTCTGGAGGACAGGACTCCTGTCCTGAGTCTGTAACCACTTTTCTCACTACTATCATTTATTCTCCCAGCCTGCCTCCTCATATACTTTCTCTGATTCCTACCAGAACAACAAAAAAAATACTTTTCTCATCTTCTCATAATTCTAATCACTCGAAGGAAGTTAGGGAGCAGGGAGTAGAAAGATCCTACAGGCGAGCGAAAGAGGAGAAACAGATACGACCCAAGCACAAGAAGAAACCCTCCGGCAGGGAGGACAGCACACAGCGGGGCCGGGAGCTAAGCCCCATCACCGGGCCCTGCACGCGCCCCTGGCCTTGGCAGGAAGGGAGGCTGGGGAGGAAGTGCGGGCGTCCTGCCACGCGGCCAGCCTGCTCTGCTCCCGAGAGCGCAAAGGACGGTGCGTGCTGGCAGCGTTCCCGACGGCTCTTCCGCTTGCGGGACTCAGTCCACTGTCACTTTTGTTTCTTGTATTAATGGCCTCAAATTACGGTGACTGATTTCTCAGAGGTCTTATTCCTTCATTCTTAGGTGGATAAGCTCAATTTCATTAAGTGCAACTCTTAGAAAGTTACTGGACAGGTTAAACGAGAGCCTCCGAACTGACAGCGTGCACCTACCTAAAGGGGGCTTGCTGCTGCGGACTGGCGGCGGCTGGGCCAGGGCCAGGGGCAGACGCGGGCTATATAGACTCCCCGCACTGTGTGTATGCAGCTTTGCAGCACATTCTGTTTCTGCAGAGACAGGGTCTTCATCTACTGCAATCACAGCTCCCCACAGCCTTGACCGTCCTAGCTCAGCGGGGACCACGGGCACACGCGGCCATGCCCCATTCTGTTCATCTGTTTTAGGAAAATAGAGAACTTTCTCCGCTTTGCCTCCATATTTGTAACCATTTTGCCTTGAGATCACTTTTTTTTCCTCAGGGGAGCTGTGGGAGCAGCGCAGACAGCCCCACGGCAGCACCCAGCCCGCCTGGGGTGACACTCCACGGAGACACAGACGCGCACTGGGCAGGGAAAGGGTGCGGAGGTCCCGGTTTTTCTCAAACGTGCTTTTCCTGCCCAGGGCCCCACACAGGACCCCATACCGCCCTGGCCGTCACGTCTCCTGGGTGCTGCCATCCGGCCATCGCCTCTGTCTCCTTGTCTTTAATGACGTGGCTGCTCCTCAAAGCTCCAGACGGTCTTTGTGGAAGGTCCCAGATTTGGATTTGTTCTAGTGATGATCCTACTGGGGAGGGTTTGCTGAGGGGATGCGTGCCCCCGCCAGGACAGACACCAGGAGGCGTGGTGGCCTCTGTCTCATCCCTGGAGACGGGAACTGTGACCCCTGGGTTCCGCGTCTCTTAAGATCTTGTGACAATGAAGCCTGGGTGCCCCTACGAGGCCTCGGACAGCCCTGACTATCACATTTGTAACTGGAACCCTCGTGAGGCGGTGCTTTCTCTGCTTATCCACAGTGGAGCTGAAGGCGCCTGCTGTCCCGCTGCGGTTCGGCTGCCCTGCAGGGTGCTCGGTGCTGGCCCCGGGAGGGTTCCGCCTCTGGCGCCGTCTGCCCTGCCTCCCGCAGCAGCCTCACTGACTCCTGTTCGCTAGTTCCTTCCTTTCTTGTTCCACAAGAAGTTCCAGGCTGATCTTGTATTTTCCTTGCCTCAGCCCTGGAATAACCCCTTCTTCAGGAGCCTGGGCTGTGTGTGGGGTTGGGGGGACCTCTGTCTCCCCCACACTGTGGTCTGCACACTGACCCTCTGATTGCTGCCCGGGTCCCTGATTCTCACTGCTTGATGGACGGCCTAGGACCCGCCTGTTTACTCAGCCATGCTCACACATGTCCATGCTTATTTCTTCATTTATTTATCTCACAAAAACCACAAGCCCAAACTGATGTGGGCTTCAGTCCAGCCCTTCATTTCTAACTTCCATCTCTAATAGGGAGAAATCTGTTTCTCCTTAGCTACCATGCATGGGCTGACTGGTTCCTGTAGGAAGCAAACAGCAAACGCCAAATGCCGCCCGCGGTTTGCGGTTCTTTTTGTCTTCAGCCTTATGGTGAACCAGGGTCAAATGCCTTTCCCGAGGCCGCTGAAAGAGGCCTTTCTTCCCAGCCCAGAGTGTGGATCTGCAG